AGCTACATGGTGAATTTTGAAAATCATGCCTATAGTAAAGATGAGGTTTATCGGTGACTTAGTAAGGCGTGGTTTTGTCGCGAGGTTGTTGGTGTCGCCATCATCTACAAGGGTTCAGGTGGCCGTAGCTCAAATTCATGTCGTGGAGGAGAATCTTGGGTCATCAATCATTCTCCTTCTTCTCTCATTTTTGATCTCCCTCTCCTTTCAGATTTGGAAGTGGCATCAGTGGATGAGAGGGTCTTCAGCGAAGGACGGCGTCGATGTCAACGAATGGGAGGGGCGTTAGTGTCAGCGTTGCTTGGTCTGAAAGTGTGCTGACTGGGTAAGGGTTGAGGGAGAGTGACGAGGGTGAGAGGTGAGGGCAATTTAGTTTAAAAATAACTAAACGTAAGATTAGTTTTTCAATACCAAGGGGGTGATAGTATTGGATAATCCCACTTAAGTAGGATTAGGATTGGGATTAAATTTTCCATTACCTTAAACCAAATATAAAAGGCTGGGATTATTCAATCTCAATTCCAATCTCACACTCCCAATTCTTCCTACCAAATAGGGCCATAGGGTGACTCTTAATCTTATTTAAGAGGAATGGAGTCCCTAATGTCATTCAATCGTAAATAGTTGATATAACCATTTGAGAACTAGTAAGTATCATTGAATCCAATCAGATTATTGGTCCCAATCCAACTTCCCCCCTCGTACTATTCAAATCATCCATCTTCGTGAATACTTGAGAGATCTCTCTAGAGAGTATAATTTGTCATATATTTTATATTTATTTTTTAATATTTTTATTTTTATATAAAAAACTAATCATTTGTCCTTTAAAGATTTGACTCAAATAGAATTCAGCGTCAAAACTTTTAGTTAGACTGATTTAATTCCTATATTTTTACCTTAATTAAAATCTCATCTTTAAATTTTGACTTGGTGTGTAATCTAGTTTTCACAATTTTTAGAAGTTGATCCTTACATTTCATAAAACAAGTTATTTTTAAAAGAATCCACAACAACAAAGAGAGGGTGAATTGAGTATTTAAAATTTTTTTTACTTCTAAATTTTTTTTTGAAAACAGAGTGTAAAAGCAAGCACAAAAGTGAGCAAATTCAAAACTTGTTAATATTATTTTTAAAATTCTTTTGTATCCTTAATGAATCCAAAAACAAATTTCAATTAGAAAATTTTCAAGAAATGTTCAAACCTTTTTATTATAAAGATTTTTCACACAAAATCAGAGTAAGGACAACTATGTTGGAAATATAGAGATAAGGAATATAAAAATTGCATATGGTAATTTATCATATTTTAGCTTTAACCACCTGAACCTACATTTAGTGTAACATCCTAGAAAATTTAATTGAGATTAATTAAATTAGTCAAGGGTAAAAGATAAAATAATGAATTAATTAAATTATCATGATTAGGGATCACTAATGGGCTTATTGGAACCTTAGCTAGGGTTATAATTGGGCCTAGGTTAGTGTTGGATCACTTTTGGGCTTGGTAAAGTGGATCAAATGTGAATTTGGCTCATTGTATCATCTGCATGACAGACATACAATGTGCCACAATGGATGCTATGAATCATATTTAAGTCTGTTATGAAAAAGACTAGAAAATAGAAAGAAAAGTATAGGGAAGCAAAGAGGAATGATTTTGCTTTGCTAGGGCTTTGAGCTATTTAGAGTGGTTTGAAGCTAAAAATTGTTTGGGTAAATGTCTTTAACCTTCCTCTTTTCTTCCTACACGAATTTTGTGCTTAGTTTTGGGGGTTGTGATGGTGTTTTTGAAATGATGGAGGCTTTAATCCAAACCCAATAAGTTCAAGATGTTATTTAAATTTCTAAACCCATGGTTGGGGTTTTAGAATGATTATGTGGTTGGGTTTCTTGACTTGGGCAAACCCTAGATGAGAAATTATCAATGTGACAATTAAATGGATTAGAATTGGGTATCGTTAGGCTCTTTGGAGTGTAATGAAGTTAATGGAACTAACGATCACCAAAGTTAACTAGTAAAATGAATTTTGGGATTTTTTGAGTGAGATGTGTAGCTATGAAATTATGTTTATGGTATGTAAAATTGATGAGTATGGAAATGTTAATTGTACATTAATTATCTAGATTTGCTTGAGTAGGTGTAGAGGATTAAGTTGAGGAATTGTCTAGGGTGCCCCTTTGATAACTCAAGGGGTGGAGGAAGTCAAGAACATAAATTTCTTCATATGCTTGTTTAAGATTTTTGGTATTGTGAAATCATGAAATGTAGAGTTGTGTATGAAAATACTCTTTAATGTTTTAGAAAAATGTTGTAAAGTAGATTTGTGATTAGTTTTCTGAAATATTTGATTAAGTCAAGTACAATATACTATTGTAATAAGCTATAAGAAATTGTTTGATTGAGAAATATGATTTAGATTTGTACATGATTATGTATCCATGATATGAACATGTGAAGTTAACATGGCATGATTGTGAAATGAATTGGGTAGGAATTCATTCTAGGTGGAAGAAAGTAGTGAAATAGACTATGTAGCATTGTCAACACTTGGGTGGTTCTAGTGTTGCATTAACATGGTGTTCACCTTCTCCGATAGGAGTTGAATGTGGTTCTGACTTAGCCGTGTATACCTACTCGGATATAGTTGGCATGGTTTTAGCACAATATGACACCTCGTGGGATTCAAGACTAGGAAAATCCATGGTCTAAATTTAGAGAGCAGTGACCTTTGGTTGAGTTAATCCTCAAAGATTGGAGAGCTTAGGCTAGTTCGCTCATACAGATCGGTTCTTTTGTAAATTGTAGTCTATGGACTCGGTCAAAAGGAATAAGGATGAGATAAATGGGTAATTATGATCATTCATGTATATACAAATGTGATAACATTAATTATGATTATTTACTCGCTTTATATGCTCTTAAATGTTTATACCGGTATATGTTAGAAGTTAGAATCTTTCGTGACTAAGATAATTATCTCACTCTATGATTTAACATTTTATAGGTGAAGATTCAGTTAGTGGCAAGGGAAAGGGATTAGAGGCTCAACACTAGATTCATATCTTGTATAGTCGCCCCTTTGTTTGTGTAGTAGAATATGGACAGATCCCTGACTAGGGACAATTATGCATTATGTTTGCATTATGGATTGTAATTTGATATTCATGAATACTTGGTCATTTTGGTGAATTAAACTCATGTGGCCTCGTGATGAGGCTAGTATATTTTGGTATGAGAACTTGAATGTGATATGTTAAGCTTGTGGTGATTGAATAAGATTAGAAAATGCATGATTAGACATCCATGAATTACATGTTAAATTGTTGTTTTAGAGGTCAAGTTTTGGTATGTGCATGTATAAATTATCGTGAAATTATTTTATGCTTTTTAAAACATGTGAAAATCATTTGTATTAGATTTAAATCTTTAAAACATTTTAGAAACAACTTCTTTTTCAAAAACAAGCTCTTAGTAAACTCTTTATAAAGAGATTCTAATACATGAAACAATATAAATCCTATTTAGTTAAGTCTTTTTTCTTAAATCTTTCTAACTTAATTGTTTTGATGGCATAGAGTCTTTCAACTTATCCTACAAAAATCCTTTCTATAGGATTTGTTATCAACTTATCCTCTTTTTTTGGGCCAAAAGTTATCAACTAATCCTCAAAATAAAGCAATCCAACAATTTTTTAATCATTACGGACCAATGGTGTAAGCAATTTAAACGATAAGGATTGGGCTGTATTATGTCAAAATTCAATAATTAACTTTTAATTGAGCCAAAACCATACTATTCAAGTTTCTATTATATGGTATCTTCTAGAAATTTTTTTAAAATCTTTAATATAAAATACTTGATAAGGTATTAATTATGTTTTTAGAATACTACCCATATTTAAATTTATTAATTATGAAAAAAGATATAATGCAAATTTGAAATTTTTTTCATTTAATTATGGGTTAAATTAATAAATTTAAAGTTTATTATATTTTTAAATAAAATTAATAACTTAACCACCTCTGGATTCCAATGAGGTAGTTATAGATATTTTATACTCTTTTTGTCTTAAATTATAAGACACTTTTAAATAAAATTTTACATATTAATAAACCTTATTAAATATACTTAAACAACCTTATCTTTTCAAATAAAAAATAAAAAATTTTAAAAATATGTATCATTTAATATAATGAAAAGAAAAGAGACAGTAATTAATTATAAAGAGAGAGAATGAGTAATATTGAAATAAGCCTGTTCAATGAAATCTTAATTTTTTTTAAAGTGTCTTATATTTTAGGACGTTAATCTTCTCTAAAAATATTTTACTCCCTCTAGTCTGTTTATAGGATAAAAAAAGAATAATTTTTTTGGTCCTATTTATAAGTTACGATATTAAATTTTTATCATAAATTTTTTTTTACCTTCCATTGAATGTTAGAGAGAGAAAAAATATTATTGAAGTGTGTATACTTAATAGAAATAAAGTTAAAAACTTATTAAATTTTTAAGATAAAGTTAATGAATTTTAAATTTTTTTAATATTGATAAAATATATTGTAAGTTATTTATAAATAAGACTAAATGAGTATAATTTGGGATTGGGCCAGTGATGGAGATCGGAGCACCTAATTCGATAACCAAGTTTTAATTGACACGGAAGTGTAATGATCACGATTAATTTTTCATTTAAAATATAAACATTGAATTTGAATAGGCTAAAATTCAATTTTAGGCAGAATTGTTTTTAATTGAAAAACAGCACTAGAGTTGACAAATCTAGCCAATCAAAAGGTGCTGTATTATCACTACAGGGTTAGGCTTAGAAGTTGCGAACTAATTATTTCCCAACCATCGGAACTGAACCACATTGTAGCATCCAGAAAAGGGCTTGTTTCATTTTTCAAAGTCCTTCCTTCTTTGGTCTTAACTCTCAAGTATGGCCATTTAATTTAAATGCTTTTGTAAATCCCCCGAATATGCCTCCCCCCAATTCCCTATACCTCTTCGTTCCACGACTCGTTTTTTGCTTTTTTCTAAACCCCCACTTCCTCACGCCAAGCATATCCCCTTTAATATTCTAATCCTCCCCTTATAAAAACCCTTCTCACTCCTCTTGATTCTTCTCATCTTACTTTCCTTCTCTCAGATATTTTTGTTCTTAATTTCGATTCGCTTCTCTCTCTCCGCCCCCTCTCTTTCTTTTGTTTCCGCGATTCAATTTTCTCGCGGATTTTGGTTTCTCTGTTTTGATTTCTTGAGCTGAGAGTGAGAGATCGATAATGAAGTTCGGGAAGCGGCTGAAGAAGCAGATTGTGGAGTCCTTGCCGGAATGGCGGGACCAGTTCCTGTCGTACAAGGAGTTGAAGAAGCTTGTGCGGCTGATATCGGCGGCTCCGCCGTTGCCAGACGGAGTGAGAGAGTACGGTAAGGCGGAGGCCGATTTCGTGTATTTGCTGAACAACGAGATCGACAAGTTCAACAACTTCTTCGTGGAGCAGGAGGAGGATTTCGTGATCCGGCACGAGGTCTGTATATGTGTACATAGATTCTTCCTCTGAATAGAACTTGTAAAATCATTTCAATTTGATGCCGATGAGTGATTTAATTGGTTAATAAGTGTAATTTGGGGGAATATAATTGCAGGCGCTGGAAGAGAAGATGAAGGAAGTGAGAGAGAGATGGGGAGCAAATGGAAGCGAGGCTTCAGAAACGAAGTATAAGGAAGAGATGGCGAAGATCAGAAAAGATATGGTTGATTTCCATGGCGAGATGGTCCTCTTAGTTAATTACAGTAGCATCAATTACACTGGTACCACTCATCTTCCTCTCTTTTTCAAATCACGTTTTCTTGTTAATTACGTGGATAAGCATGGTTTTGCTGTGAGAATTTTATTGTGAATAATATTTATTTTCGGTTTTATATTAAAGGATATCGGAATTGATAACGTGAAATCAAATAATGAGTATTGCAAATATCCTGAGTTATTAAAAGAAAAAAAAAGAAAAGAAAAAGAAAGAATGTGTTTCAAGGAGGTGTGTGGATAGAAATAGAATATTTGAGCTCGTGGACTTGAATTGAAGTTCATGCAACTTGTCAAGTTTGTGTGCAGGTTCAATGGCGTCCGGATTTTAACAACTTATGCTCTTTTTTTTTTTTTTTTTTTAATATACTGGGATCTGTACTGTTTTCATTCTGATTGGTCTATATTTTTTTTTTAAATTTCCAAGTATCCGTTAAAACAATTTTCTTTATTTTATTATATATTAAAAACAAAAAGCAAAATATAAGAAAATTTGGGTCATCTAATTTTGTAATTGTATGGTTGGTCTAAATCTGGAGGTGATCTCTCCATACTTGTCTTTAAAATGAGGATTAAATTACCAATGGATATTGTTTTATTTAGTTAAGATTTAACTTATAATGCCATAGGTTTAAATCTCATTGTGAATGTAATGATCTTATTAGTAGATAATTTATAAATATTTTTGCAATCATTTTTTAAATTTAAATGTATATTCTAACCCTTGTGTGAGTCTTGAAATCTAATTTACCCAGATTTTTTTTTATAAAAATACAAGGAGCAACAAATTCAACTTCATGTCCCATGAGCCATGCATGCTAAAATTATTAATATTTCCATATTTTGACAAAAAAAAAATACTTCTTTGCTTTCAAAATTTTGAAGTCTGTCGGTAATTTCTTATTGTTTACACATGTTTTATTATATCTTTTTCCCTAAATTTTGAAGAGAGAAGAGATGTGGGCCTCATGTGGTAAGAGGAGCTAGTGCAATATTTTTCAATCGAGTGGCACTTGATTTAATTAATTGAGGGTATTTAAGCTATATTTTAGGATTTTGAGTTTGAGTTGTGGGATATACAATGATGTTCCCATGGGTTTGGATTAGGCGAGTTTGTGAATAGTTTTTGAAAACATTTAGGCCTTAAAAAACTTTTTTTTTTCCTAACAAAAAACCCAGTCTTATGAAAACCAGTCAGTTTTCATTTGTTTAACTGGGTCTTTTGTCTGGTTCTAACTTCTTAGAGAGGCCCATTTTGTGACCTTTCCGGACCGGTATTGTGGTTGTTATGGGCTTTGTGGTTGATTCCAGCTTAAAAGAAATAAATATGAAAAAGAGGAAAATAAATATGAAAAGGGTGGTAGAGAATTGTCCTTCGGACAAGATTTGTGGGCCCACACAACAACTGGTATTTTGTAACTCGATTTTTATTGAGCTCTGTTGAGTCCAAACCATGTCTTAGTTTTTCCTTACTACAGAAAGATGGCCCAGGTCCAAACAAAGAACAAAATCACTCGGAGGCCAGTGATCCACAGCTTTTCTTTTTTTTATGACCAGTGATACACAGCTTAATAAAGAAATATGTATGGGCCTCAATTATCGTAATGATGATATATTGGAACTTGTGGGTTTCTTGCAGGGCTGGCAAAAATACTGAAAAAGTACGACAAGAGGACAGGGGGGCTACTGAGGCTACCATTCATACAGAAAGTGTTGGAGCAACCGTTCTATGCGACGGACCAAATCTCAAAACTTGTGAGGAAATGTGAGAGCATGATCGACGTGGTGTTCCCGGCGGAGGAAGACTTGGCGGAGAGAGCGAGAGAAGCGAGAGACGCCATCGTTGTTGCCGGAGAAGGCATATTCCGGAACACCGTCGCCGCTCTGCATACCATTCAGGAGATCCGAGCAGGAAGCTCCACTAGGAGTCCCTTCTCTCTGCCTCCTCTCAACTTGCCTGAGTCTCAACTCATTCAAACAATTCAGCTGAATTCCATCATCCCCACCAATTGATGGTATAGTTGATCAACATAGATACAGGTTTCGTCACAGCAACTTATCAGATGTTACACGTTTTGAGGAATTATTCATGCTATAGGTATACAAATTTAGGAATATGTATAATGGACCAGAAGATTATCCAAGTGCCTGTTTCATTGGGTTGATCAATCTGTCCGTACACTTTATAGATTTACACACAATTATTATTATTTTTTTTAAAAAAAGGGTTTAGTGTTTTTGAAATTTGTCTAAAATTACTTGCTATAGGTATAGATTTGAAACGTCTTTGTCCTCTACAATGGGAACTCGCGATTTGACTCGAGGGGTCAGAATGGTCCCACAATCAAGCCAAGAGTTCGATTGGCATCCTATACAGTACAATGGAGTCGAAACAAAAGATAAAAAATAAAAAAGAGGATATAAGAAAAGCAAAATGCCCACATTTGACACTTTTTATTAATAAAGAACAAGATCATATATTAAACCAGAAGAGGGTTATAGCCAACTGTACAAAACGTTATTTGACCCACTTTTGTGACTGTTCGTGGTTAGTCATTTGCCCTGAAATATATACATATTTTTTAATATTGAAGTGTCTTTGCCCTGATAGAAGTTCTCTAGAAGTCTAGAAATAATGGAAACTATTTTTATGTAAAATAGAAAGATAATACTTTGAAGAGATATGGCATTTTAATATTTATATAAAACATATTTCTTAGAAAAAGTGATAAATAAACATTTTGAATAAGAAGGGATAAAATAGTCAAAATATTTTACAACCTCAAGACAAAATTGACAATACATTTTTTATTTCATAGCAAACCCATTTTCTTAACATATGGAAACAAGGCCTACCTCGTGAAGAAAAAGTATCACTTTTTTTTTTGTTAACTTAAATAATGTGGGCCAAGCACATGAAAAAAAAAATAATTCTCTCTATCTCTCTTTTGAAATTCCTTTTATCCATATCAAACATGACCTAAAGGTTCATTTATGTGATAATTTTTTAAAAAATAAAAACTTATAGATTGATTGATTACAATAAACTATATTCGTTGGAGATCATATCAGTTACATCGATTAATTATAAGGTTAAAGGGTAAATTTGTCATCGAATTTTTTTTTTCTGATGCAATTGATATCTTTAATTTTGGATCGCACTAGTGTAAAAGAAGGCTTCTAAACCTGCCATTCTCAACAGGTTCTGCGCCAGAAGTTTTGAAAATTGAGTTAGTCGCATTCTCGTAATTAAACCATGAGTTATTAGACTCTCTAAACCGGTTCTATAGACGTTTCTAGTCCAACCGTCGATAAAACTGGTCTAGAAAGATGATTTTTTATTTTAAATAAAACAAATATTTTTTGTACTTTCTAAACCAAATAATCGTGTAATCAGTTTGGAAATTTTTTTTGATTTTTCTGGATTTTTTTTTTCACTTTCTAATAACCAGTTTAGAAAGGCTTTTATTTTTCTTAAAAATTAAATTTTAAAATTACTTTCAAGACTGGTTGTCTGGAAAGCATTAAAAAAATAGAAAAAATAATTTTTAATTACAGATCAGTTACTTTGAACAACCGCTCTAGAAATTCTTTTCTAAAATTCAAAAACCCTCTCCATGTTCATTCTCCACACTTCATCGTCTCAGAAGGCCTCTTTGTTCCATCAACGACTACCTTGCACTACCTAATACTTTTGTCCTCTTGATTAATCGTCACCGTGATTCATGGTTCTCGTGCTTTCATCTTATCAATTCTCGCATTGTTCATCATGTCTGAAGCTCGAATTCATTGCTTCAATCCGTGGTCCTAGGTTTTGGAGTGTTGAGTCTTGGTGCTGGCATCTTCTAGGTTAGCATGTCTTCAATCTGTGGTTGGAACTGTTAGAAATTGTGCTATAGAGTCAATTATTATACTATGAACATTGTTATTTAATGAATTTTTTTTATTATCATATTAATTGCATGTTTATTATGATAACGGTATCCTTAAATAAACTATAGTGATTATCCTAAATGCTTTTAGTCAATCATCTCTAAAGGATCATAGATGAAACAATATTACTATGACTTTAATTAATTATAGAGATATAAATCAAAGTTGTAAACACTTGAAAGGATACAAGGTGCTGGATTAACCCGCTATGAGAAAGTTGTATAGAACAAGTTATAAACTTATCTCATACGTAACCACATTATTAAGCCCTTTGACCTGAAATCATCATGAATTTCTATATGATGACCACTGAACTTTGACCTAGTTAAAAGTTACTTTTAACCGGGTGACATAAAGGTTATAGTTGAGTTTAGTGATATTCATGTAGAGGAATATGAGTGGTCAAGATGGAATTTGTCCCTTACATTAATTGAGAGATACTATTGGGCTTCTTAATGAGTAAGACTGAAAAAATATATGACCATACTATAATGAAAAAGGTTTTTTCATTGCTATAGTCAGTCTACTCAAAGATAAAAAAAGTAATGTTCAAGTAAAGAAAAATGATAATTTCATCTCTCACACTTGATCAAAATATCGCGTGACAAAAGGGATATAATACGATTATATGATAGGTTACATTGAATTGTTGATCTCTATATGAATTAGATAGTTGCAATGTCTTGTTAGAGGTTGCTTGTAACTTATAGGCTAGTAACGTTATTGACTTACTGCCAACTTCATATGGACTTACAAGATCACACACAATAACTGCTCAACTCGAGTTATAATGTCCAAGTTTATTGAATCTAGAATGTGTCTAGATTTAATAAATGTAATGCTTTATTTAAGATTAACTAATTTTATATATATATATATATTTGAATACTTATCTGATAAATATTTATATATATTTATATGAAATATAAATTCAAAATATAATATTATATATATATATATATATATTCAATATATATATATATATATCTCTCTGTAGAGCTAGTAATTCAGGTTAAGCCTGATATGTTAGCCTAAACTAACCCGAAAATAGTTAGGGTCAAACTTTGTTATATGGGCTTTTTAAAGAGGATATGATATTTTAAGCTCGATTTGAATTGAGCCCAACTCAAATAAGCCTGACCACTGAAATTTTCAACTCTATATTTATATAGAATTGGCAATATTATCCAAGTTCGACGAGTCAACCCAACCCCTGCAGAAAAAAAGTTAGGACTAGGCCTAACTATATGGACTTTTTTAAGAGAGTATGATATTTTAAGCCAAATCTAAATAAGTCCTGCTTGAATTAAGCTCGACCTAAATAAGCCCGGCTCGCTCGAATTACTGATTCTATACATTCATGTGTGTGTGCATATATATATATATACATGTATATATATATATATATATTATATATTATATTATATTGTGTTAGTTTTAAATTTAGTATTATATAATAAGTTAAATTTAATAACTAATATGATATGAGATGATTTTATATCAGTTTTATAATTTAAATTTATGAGATAAATTCAAATGAGATATGATATTATAGATTTAATTTATAAGATAAATTAAATTTTATTTTCATTGGCCCATAAGGGACAACAAAAGCCCTAATTTATATAAGATAGATAAGGACAAATTTTCTGTCATATATACATTCTCTTGAAGGCAAAACTTTTGAGCCACAAACATGCCCTAGAAAAAGGAAAAAGAAAAGGAACACCTGATTAAAGCTATAAGATCATATCTTCCAAGGCTTTTGCATAGAAGGATATTGGGAGCGCTAGCACGCTGTTTGTATTGAAAGCTGTTTGTGTGGATAATGGTAGAGGGAGCTAATTTAGGTTATTAATTCTTGAGATCCAAATGCTTAAGGGAAGCTCAAAAGTTTGACATACAAAAAGTACTTCTTCTATCTACCTTGACTTAAAAGAATTTAATCGGTCCACAATTGTGATTGGGTTTTTTAATTTTAATTTTTCACTACACTCCCAATCCAATAGGATTCAATTTTTGTTCAAATTTGAATTTTTGTTCAAATTCTCATGCTTGGTTGTTTCAATTTTTGGGTGGGCAGCTTTAAGCTCCAATTTTTTGTGGTTTGTCTTCTCCCTCACGTTAGTGTTCTGCTTCAAGGTATTTTTCTTTTTCTTCTTTTTTGTATTTTCATCACCTAATTGATTTGTGTGTTGCTGGGATTAAATGATGTTGAGGTTATTGTTGGGAATAAAGGTAATTTTTTTTAATTAGTTCTTAAGTAGCTAAACTTACTAGTTGATCATGTGCATATAGTTTGATTAAATCTTAGCTCGTATTTGAATTTTGGTTGTTGTATATAGTTTTTGAATGTATCAAATTGTTGAAATTGATTGGTTGTGATTTGTCATGAGAATATTTTTAATTATAAAATTTTGGAATGTCCAGCTTTTAAAGGGAACTCTACCCAAATTTCTTTAACTTTGCAGTTTGAGATTTTTAAGTTTTGTATTACGCCAAAAGTTTAAAAAATGATATAACTTCACCTTATAATAGAAACATTTGACTACGTTAAACGTGGTTGAAAAATTATGACTAACATTAAATAACAATTTTACTTCAAAAGTTTTTTTTAATAAACAATTGATATCCTAAACTTTTTATGTTTAATTCAAAACAAAATCTTACAATCCATTATCAATGTTAAAAAATAATTCATGTATCTAGATTTTTTTGACAAGGAGTCTTGCTCGAGACTACTTGAGCAGGAAACTCTATTCCAAGCATTTCACAAACTTTCCCTTGAGCAAAATTCAGCCTTTCCTTTATTTTGCTCATGAGCACATCTCAACTTGTATAGATTTAACTATCATTATTAGAAAATGAGAGATTTGTGATGAAAATTTTGTGACACCCTAAATTATGTTGCAAAGGTGTCGTAAATCCGTCCCAACATTATTATATGTTTATAAGATTATGTACAGTAGTTATAATTAAAAGTAAAATAATGGAATTTGGGTTCTTTTGTAAATTATTAATCTAGAAATTATTAACAGTTATACTAATAAAAATATATATACCTAGATTATGTTGTAAAATTTTTAAGCCCTTTTATCTATTGAATAGATTTCGATAACATTGTTAGTTGACGAAAAAACTTTAAGTACATGTTTAATTTTGCAAAGCTCAGCCCTCAAGCCTGCATGCTTAGGATTGCTGGCATTAGGCCCTTTTATCTTTTTTTAAAATAAATA